TAGGGTTTAGGGTTTAGGGGGTCGTAAGCCCTCGAAGGTGAGGCAAGGAAGCTTCCTGACGGGCGAAGTCAAGGTGGTTTGAGATTTACGGTCTAGGCTTTAGGGTTTGGAATGCAGGGGTAGCACCTGAAAGCTTCCAAGAGGCCTTTTGATGGACGAGCCATTGGGTATACACGCAAAAAGTCCTAACTTCAACGTACTTTAATTAGCATTACCTAAAGGGTTCAAGTACCAAAATACGACGGCGTCTCAAGTCCCAAATACGAAATTGGCGGTCTTACAGTTTGCACTTGGAGTTACGGTCTCAAGACTACTGCTGCACTGAAGGCTTTGGATTCGAAGTTCGCTCATGGTTAAAGCCTAGAGGTTGTGAGACACCATTCCGACGCTACAAAATCCCTTAACCAATCTCCACACCCTACCAAAGCCTAAACCCTCAACACCAAGACCCTGAACCCTAACCCCTAAANNAAACCCTAAAGCGTAAACCCCAAACCACAATGCTTAAATTTGGGCGTCAAGCTCCGGATTCAGGCCATCAGCGCGAAAGCCCGACGAACCCGCCGAATCAGAAAAAAACATCATTGCAATATAAGCTATTGCAACCGTATGTTATAATATATCATGCCATACTACATTGTATTATTACTTGATAAACAGCCATATGCCCCGGAACAATGGATTTAGTTAGACAAATTTTCCCAGGTTTCTGATTCTACAGGGCTTCCATTCTTATGGATTGTACAATCCAGGTCCCCAATAATCCATTCCGAAAAAGGTACCCGTAGTCGCCGTCTTCCTGCTATTCAGACATCAAATGTCACCACAAAATAAAACAGACCCCAAGGGTCCAAGTACGTGATAATCATACACTCTCCCAAATAGTAACCTACATAACTACTATCCGAAACCTAAGTACCTAATTATTGGGTGCTTTGGACCGGGACAGGGTGGTAAGGAACTGCTGGGAACGGCCGAGGCGCGTAGGAACTTTGCCACATCGTCCAGCAGTGCAATCTCTTCATAGCGGAACTTCAGCTTCACGGGCGCCTCGTGCAGTTTCTTACTTCCCCAAGAAGCCGGGGAATTAAAAGGTTAAACTTTCAGATCACTACTAATTCATAAGCACCCTAAAAGTTTAAAGGTTGGGCCTAAACCCTAAACCCTAAACCCTTAACCCTAGTGGGGAACTAAGATTTAGCAAAGCCGTCAAGGCTTCGGGGTTCAGGTTTCAAGGTTTGGTGTGTCCTTTTGCGATCTCTCCCAGAAAAGAACAGACAGACTGGTTGAGGTCCTGTGCTAGATGCGGTCACTTCAAGAGCACTCATTAACTCTGGGGTTGGTTAGACCCAAACCCTAAACCCTAAACCCTAAACCCTAAACCCTAAACCCTAAACCCTAAACCCTAAACCCGGAACCCTGGGACTGAAATCCTGGCTCTAAAAGCTGGCTCCAAACCTTAAGCTAGAAGCCTAAATTACTATCCATATGGGAGTTTCCGAAAATAGGGGGTACCTTGTTTTGGGGTCCTTATAATAAGGATCCGACTATTTAGGGTACTATATTAGGGTCCCCTATTTTCGGAAACCCCCATATTCTTCCATAGGGTTCTGGATTATTCCCTCCAGTGCTTTTTCCTTGCTTCCCTCTGATTGTATAGACTCCCTTGGAAGCTTGAGACTCTCAAGCTCAAAAGCCAAAGTTATATCGTAAAGGAGCCCAAAACACCCCTAGTCTAATGATTAAGGCCCCTACATTACCCTGACCCTGATCCCAAACCCCCAAACTTTAAACCCCCCTTGTAGAACGCTTCTAGACCCCTTTCAGGAACCCTATAGGCTATAGAACCCCTTAAGGAACCCTAAAAGCCTCGTTTTGTAGAATCCCTCTTTAAGGAACGCTTGCTCACTAGACCATTTGGTGCCGGCCTCATCGGCTGCCCCATTGAACACCACAAACTCGCCTTAGAGCTATTAAGGTTTGCGGAATTCCGGTTTATCTAAGGTCAGAGCATGCGCCCCTGATATGGACCCTTAGGCCTTGCTAGGGACCCTTAAGGATACATATAGGGTACATAGTAGGTGTATAAGGATCCCAAGATTAAGGGCCCATACTAGGGGCCCATGGGTTCAACCTTAGAGTTTCGGGTTTGGAATTTATAGGTTTTAGGGTTTAGGTTAGGGTTTAGGGTTTAGGGTTTATAGGTTTAGGTGCGTAGGGGCTTTGAGCTCAGGGTTCAGTGTTTGGAAATTTGGTTGGGTCCAAGTCTGCGATCCTGTCTTAAGGGTCCAAAGAATACAGTTTAGGGTTTAGGGTTTATAGGGCCTAAACAGTGGTGGGCTGTAAGTTAGTGTCTGGGGCGGTTTATCATTATCATACCCCAAACTCGCCGATGCTACGACAAAGGCGGTATCTGTTCCTCTGCAACTTCAGACACAGACCTCAACCCGTAAACCTTAAACCCTAAACCCTGAACCCTAAACCCTGAACCCTAAACCCTAAACCCTAAACTCTGAACGCCTAAACCCTAACTGGGACCCGTGGGGCTAGGGGGTACCTAGCTATATGTGCAGCTCTCTAAGAATAGGGTGCCTCTTCAAGTCCTTTTTCTAAGGGTGCCCACCCTCTTGTGGGCTCCTAAGAAGGGACCCTGATTAAGAGAACTGTCCATATAGTCATATGGGAGACGCAGGAAAGGACAGGAAGTCACGATACAGGAACCCGACAACCCTCCAAGTGCATACCATGCACAGAGTTCCTTCAAGGGTCTATAGTATTTTTGGTTTCTGGTTGGGAGGGGGGGGGGTTGATAAATCCTAAATCCTAAACCCTTAACCCTAAATCCCTAGATCCTAGACAAACACCAAAACAACTTCAAAGCTTCCAGCTGCAAAATCCTGCGTAGTCTGGGGGCTACCCAAAAGATCCCCAAAGGGTCCAAGTTATAGTATAGTGTATACTTTTGACTCCCAAATACCTACCAAGTAGCTACCTGTTAATGCTTGGACCCTTTGGGTCATGGGATTTTTTGTGAGCTGACCCTGCTTAGTCCTATGATCCTCCAAGCAGTCCATGTGCCTAAGCCCTAAGCTCTAACTCCCTAATCCCCTAAACCCTATGCAGATCTTAAGGCCTTACCTAGACCCTATGAAACCCACCCGTTTAGGGGTCGCTATTCTAGTTTCCTTGTAGGAGCCCTTAGAAAGATAGGTTCTTTACCCTAAGGCTCAAAATAGCCCAAAAGCCCTACATAGTATGGTCTTTGGGCCCAAAATCCTTAGAAGATGAGTCCTTAGAGCCTTAGGGTTCAGGTGTGAGGATTGCAAGAGGGTGGCCTCTGTGGGCCTGCTGTAACACGAGGGCTATACTGCATTCGGATCCGAGGCTTGGTTTGTGTTTTTACGCGGCTTTAGGGCTTAGGGTTTAGGGGTTTAGGGGTTTGGGGGTTTGGGGTTTAGGGGTTTAGGGGTTTAGGGGTTTAGGGTTTAGGGTTTAGGGTCGAGTCACGGCTTTGCTAGTACTGCTTGTTGGGTTCATAGGTGTAGCGTTGAGGGTCCAAGGTCAAGTTTTACAGATTGGGGAACCCCTAAACCCGAAACCCTTTACCGGTTTCAGAGAAGCTTCAGACGATTTGGTGACTCCGGGCTTGCAGTTTGGGGGTTTAGGTCGCGGGGCGTCGGGTTTAGGATTTTCAGGAAGATACCAGTGAACGGCCTCAGATTGCTCAAATGCCCTAAACCCTAAACCCTAAACCTTAAACCCTAAACTCTAAACCCTGTAGTAACCCTGTAGTATCCAAGCAAAAACCTCTCTGGGATGCAGGCAGGTGTAGCTGCAGGCGGCTCCCAGTCTCTTCCCCTGGCTTGTGGCAAAGAATGTACAAGGTTTAGGGTTTAGGGTTTAGTGGTAGCCATCAAACTGCAAACCTCGGCATCTGAACGTCCGAACACCGAAAGCCACAAACCCCAAGTTAAAGGAAACTACAGGTGGGGAGTTTAGGGTATATAGGGCTTCTATAAGGCTTCAACAAGGTATATAGACCTTCTATAAGGCTCCTAAAAGGTCACAGGCGCACAATACACCTGGAGACTAAATGCATGCGAAATGCTTCTCGTTCAGGTTTTGGGCACTTCGTGTTCGGAACTCGGTGGCTGGACTGACAACCAGAGAATTAGGAAAGCATAGGGTAGTGTCTAAACATCCACAAAAAACCGCTGTTTTGTGCTCATACGAATTCAGAACAGCAGGACGAACTAGGAACTATCAGCCATAGCCAGACTGTTGTCTTGTGTAAGCGGCAGTTGGCACCTCCACACGAATCCAAAGAGGTATCTAAAGAGATCTGGATTGGCTTCGCATGGGACGACGAGGGAAAGGAGTCTTGGGACGTCTGCCGCCATCAGTTTATGCTCTCAGTCCCAGTCATATCATGTAATATGCGCCGTCAGCTTTTCGAACGCCGGAGGTCTGGGTGGCCGTTATCAGACCCGTTATCACAGTTGGCGAATGGATGCTGTGAGGAAAGGCCGAGGCCTGCGTGGCAGTTATCATAGTTGACCCATGGATGCTCTGGGGAAAGGATGAGGTCTGGGTGGTTGATATCATGTTTGGATGATGTCTGGGTGGACGTTATCATGGTTTTGGCCCATGGATGCTCTGGGGAAGGGATGAGGTCTGGGTGGACGTTATATGGTAGGTCTTTTACGCGCCTGTCTCCTCCTATAAGTGTAACTGCCCACCTGAAGATGTCCTAGACTCTAGACTAAGTTCTAATTCCTAAACTACGCAACATCCCTGAAACCCTGGCCTTCGCAGTTGGAATAGGCTGTGGGTGTATATGTTCGAGTAGCTACATATTTAAGGGCTACAATGGGCCGTTCCACAAGGGGATACCATGGCTGTGGGTGAGTTCGGGGGGGAGGGGGGCAACGGGCTGAAATAGACAGAATAAATTAGAATGAGAATACTTGGCGGGATTCTGGGCCTTGAAGTAACCAGGGAGAAAAAAGTATAGACTTTTATTTCATAATGGTTCCTTTAAGGAACAGGTCCCCAAAAAAGTATTAAAGTATGGCACTCCAAAGCCCAGGATTCTATACTTTTCATAAAGAAAACCATTGCAACCACTTGCAGGCACTTTGACGAGATTGCGAGACACGATAACACCCTCCCAAAGCCCTTATGAAGCCAATCTGAATGTCTTAAAACCCTAAACCCTAAACCCTAAAACCAAAACCCTAAGCCCTAAACCCTAAACCCAAAACCCAAAACCCTAAACCCAAACCCAAAACCCTAAACCCAACAAAAAAAAACCTTACAACACTGAAGCCCGGCCCTAGGGGCACGAGTACCGAATCATCATATACTCCCCAAGCTACGAAATTAGGGTTTAGGGGTTAGGGTTTAGGGTTTAGGGTTTAGGGAACCCAAGCGCCCATACCCAGACCATCCAATATCCTCCGCGGTTTAGGGTTTAGGGAAAGGGATATCTTAAATCATAGTAGGGTCACTAAATACGATTTAAGGTCTTTAAGGAGATTGGAAGGTCTGAGTAGATCCTTTGGCCCCTCCAGCTTCGGCTTACGGGTTCAATGTGCGACAGGCCAGGCTTCGAGGTTTAGGGCTTAGGGCTTCCTTGGGAACCAAATGGCCCTTATAAGTAGGGGGCCAATACCCTTATACTGTGAATCACTATATGGTAAATGAACTTGAAAACCTTTTGGTGTTCATTTCTTCCTTAAGCTTAGGGCGAAAAGCCAGGCAAAAGGTGCCAGCTTCTTGTTGCTGCGGGCATCGACGTAGGCAAAGGACACCTGCCGCATGAAACTGTCTAATGTAGGGGCCTTAATAACTAGAATAGGATCCTTACTGCAATAATCGTAGTATAATATATTCCCAAACCCTACCCCTAACCCTAAAACCTAAATCCTAACCCTAGAACCTATATCCCCAAAACCTATTGTAATTGCTAAGGCTTTATGTTACATGGGTAGTTCTCTAAATTAGGGCCCCGTTTAAGGCCCCCAACATAG